CCAGCTTGATGGTAACGGGGAACAAAATTTATTTGTGGGTATTGCCGCTAGATGTCGCATTATCAAGCCGTCCGAAATATCGATTTTGTGTTTTCGCTGGCGTCCGGTTGTTTACATCGGCGCTTCGATCGATTCGGAGTTGTCCCCAAAGGAGTCTCCCCCCTTAAGGGGGGAGATACCGTGGTCCGTGCGCTGTGTCCGTGCACACACACAATCAACGGGAACCGTGTATGTATATGCGATGCAAGCGACGGAAACGTTACCGATCGAACAACCATAAACGATTTCCAACTTCATTCCTACGGCACGAATTGCAAAGAAATTTGACACACATCTTTGACAAACGCCAAAGAATTTTGGTTGGTTATTTACGAAAATTATTGACGAAATCGTACAAAAATTTCAAAACTTAAGATTTGGCGATTTGGGTCTCATCTGTTTCAATTTTTCCATCATATAAAGATTTCTACGAACTGTATGTCCAAACGAAGAGGTTTATTGAAATTCTTTAGGTTGGATAGAACAAAATTAGCAACTGCAGCAGCTTCAATCCTCGGTATCATTGACAACAAAAATATATTTGTAGGTAATGCCGTTAGATGTCAAATCATCAAGCCATCCCAATTATCGATCATGTATTTTCACTAGCGCCCGTTTGTTTACATGTGCGCTTCGATCGATTCGGAGTTGGCCCCGAAAGAGTCGCCCCCCTTAATAAACGTCAAAACAGTTTTGACTATTGTTTTTATTTTTTTTATTAAGCTTATTATTTTTATTAGTCAACATTTTACATATAATAAACGGTCTGCGACCGCCCAGGTGCGGAGGCACGTTTCGCACCCCCACCCATAGACATGGTAGCGTTAATTCTTTTATGAAAGGAGAGGCACGTGGTGTCGGCTTCTTGAGAAGAGATTGTATCGTCAATAGCCGGAATCTTAAACATATCATCGGTGTTTAGATTCCGTGGCGGCACGAGTGGCGATACATTGTTGATTCCTCGCGGCCTCGGAGTCTGGGTGTTCCGTGATGGCAAAGGGACCGACGCTGGATTGTCGGTTGCCGGTTGCCGGTTGCTATCGAGGCGTGTGAGATAAAAGGTTTTAAATAAAGGATCTGGCCACAGAGTGGGGAGAGTCGGGGGGACTCTCTGGCAAGAGGCTGTGTCAAGGGACACGGCACTTACCCCAGAACCTCGAAAGAGATCGGAGTCAAGTGTTATATATAAAATATTTCTAACAGACATATACATATAGACGGAGCATTAACTGAGCGGGGAAGTAAGATTCGCGGTAAGGGGGTGGATAGTGGTAGATCAGGTAACTTCGTTTATTTTCGGTGCTATTCGGGTATACAATCACGTTACACACATGTATGCTACGAGAGACGAAAAGAATATACCTATTATACGTTAAAAATTCCATATGTCATGTTGTTTGTATAGATATATGTATTTAACAAAATTAATAAATAGCCATTAATAACGAGCCGAATCGAGCCGAATGCATCCGAAGCTAGCCCACGTACCTCTAATGACCGCTGCCTTTTCCCCTCCAATCCTACGATCCCCTCTCCCAAAGTGGTAGCTTATGCTCCGTCTATATGTATATGTATGTCTATACCCTCACCAGGAACTGCTCTGGTCAGAGGTCGGAAACTTTTACTGAATTTTCACCGGAAAATAGTTGGCGCCGAATGTTAATGTATCTTAACGATTTATATCTCAAAAAATTGCTCACAATTTGCTTCTTCCGAATCTGAAATTGCTCCCACAGCACCGTTTATAGTTAATGATATATTCGCAAAAGAAAAACCAACAATTTGTTGTTTACAAAATAGGTAGTAAATGGCCTTTTTACACAAATATTATGACACCAAAAAATTGCTCCTGATCCGTTTTATAATAATCAATAGTCATATATCTCAATAATAACTTATTAACGAGGAGCAAACGAAATATTGTTGTTGCATAGAGGTTAGGTATTACGGTAGGCGCTCGTTTATTGCAGCCTTCGGGGTTATAGAGAGCCATCATGATGCATTAAATTACTGTATTTTCAATTAGTCGAGCCTCAAAATATGAGTTAATGGTAGAGAGAGTGCAACATAAATTTATCAGGTACATTTCCTTTAGACTGGACAACCCTATGCGGCGTAATGATTACGATTATGAACCTTTATTAAACAGACAAAATATAACTTTTTTGGCTGATCGCAGAGTTGTCAACGATCTTTCTTTCTTATTCAAGCTTATAAATGGTTACATCTGATGTTCTCAATTGTTGCAGCTCGTTTACTTTTCTGCTCCTTCAAGGTGTGTTAGAAAGAATCATACATTTTATTATGCTATAGTAAAAACTAAATATGGTTCAAGTGATCCAATTTATCGAATCCTGAAACCAGCCAATAATTTCACGGATCTGATTGACTTTTTCAGTGGCTCTATTGAATACTTTAAGGCATTCCTACACAGAGCACTAAGGACTGTTTAATCTTAGTTAATATTTCATTAAAAATTTCCTATTGCGACTAATTCCATACTGTATAATATATTGATGTAACTGTTTCTAATCTTATTTTCATTAATTGTTATATATGTACACTGAGTTTATACTCGTTAAATTACTAAATAAATAAATAAACTGTTTAAAGTCCACGATGATGCCCCCGTTGCCTTTCATTATGTATTCTTCGAATAAAACTCTGCCCAACTCGGCAGGCCATCCACCCTCGCCGCCACTGAAAACACCGTGTGACGCCAGCATATTTCTTATTTAAATCGTTTTATCGATCATCACCGAGATATTCAGTCCTGTCACCAATTGAAGCACGTTCATCAAATTTTCCGTTTTAAAGACACAATTTTTCCTGTCCCTCCGTCGCGAAGAGCCCCTCGTCAGCCGGTAACATAGGTCAGGTATATACCTGAGGGGGGAGAACTCCAGCCACGGATAGAAGGAACGACGGCACGGTGGAGAGTCTCGTAAAGTTCGCATGCTCTCTGATGCACACCCACCTCTCCTCGCTTACAGTAGACTCTCGAGGTATGGAGTTTCGTTGAAGGCGGGGGCACACAAGTTAAATAAATAAATAAATAAATAAATAAATAAATAAATAAATAAATAAATAAATAAATAAATAAATAAATAAATAAATAAATAAATAAATGAATAAATAATTAAAAAAAGAAATAAACATAGCGTAAAGGAAAATATTAAGATCACAATGATATCAAAATGCCATAACTGAAATCATTTGATACCATAGTAATCTTTCGTAAAAATACAACGTAACAATATATATAATAAAAAATAGTACATTATTTTTAATATAGAATTATGAAATAAACTATATGTTTGATGCAATTTTGTTAAGCAATAGATATACCAAAACTGTTTTCTTCGTGTATAGGTACAGTTCCGCGGCGACAAGAGGGTGCTAGACAATGAACATGGCATTCTCAATTTCGAGTTCAACAGTAAGATTTTTAAGAGTCGTTTGCGACCACGAAGATGGATAATAGGCGTTCTGATCTTCCTACTGACATCCCTGGCTATCATAAACACCTACACCACGCATCAATTTCGGATCGTACGGTTTGGAGCTGTTGTCAACGTCACTTCTCAAGGTACCATATTTTGTTATAATCAGTGAACACTTGAAAGCTTCATCTTACAAACAATCATTTATCGAGGTATCACTTTAAATTGGTCCAACGGTAATCCGCAGCTGACGTAAACGGTGCTCGATAGACGCGTTATTATACAGAAAATCCTCGATGAGTGTTCGAGGTCTCCTCGGCACTCACAAAGAGAGGTCTCCAGGTGTATCGCTGATTTTTTAACACTTTCGCTATTACAGACGAGATATCTCGCTACCACAATGTCGTTTATTTCATGCTACAGACAAAATATCTCGCGCTTTAATGTCGCTCATGCGATGCTGCAGACGAGATATCTCGCATCCTTCTTATGTGCAATAAATATTGGTGATAATTTGATAAAAGATGCTAACCAAGCTAGACATTTGCTACTAAAATATGTCACGAATTATTACCTTTTTCACATAATACCTTAATACTTTATTACGCAGAATGTTTGGAAGAATCGATTGATATAATAAAAGTATTTTATTCCATAATATTTCTGTAGCGTAGCATAAACAACATTGAAGCGCGAAATATTTCGTCTGTAACATTGAACAAACGATATTGTGGTAGCGAGATATCTCGTTCTCCGTAGCGAAGGGGTTAATGAGATTTAATACAGTAATATAACCATTAGCCTTCAAACACTCATCGAGGATTTACTGTATATTAGTAATACGTACATTTGTGTCGTAACAAACGTGAGCTGTGAAAGTCTACAAGGAGTGAAAACCTTACAAGTTTTATTAACAACTTTGTACATACTTTTATATGTAAAATAAATAAAGAATAAGTTTATTAAAACAAAGAGTGTAACTGCATTAAAAAAAAAGTGCAATTACGCCGAACAGATGCATCGATGCAACTGCAACAACCGTGGTGTCATAAGACGTTAGTCCTCGGTACATCAGGCAATATTTTATTATAATTACAAAAAACAAATGTACAATACAATGAAAATAAACATAAATTCAAATTTCATGTTCTACTTATATTATTCACCTGTGCTCTTCATTCTTGTTTTTTTTTTTTAGATAACTACGTAGAATTCAAGGCTTTCTTCACGCCTGTAGCCAACTCCGGCTTCGTAGTACGCAACAAGGGCTGTCGAATTCCAGCGATGGATCCATACGATCCAAAAATCCAGCGTTTCATTCACAAGGAGGAACCAATTGCTTGCGAACATGGAAATCATCTGCCGCTAGTCGATTCGAACAACACAGCGGTGTTCATAAATCCAAAGGCGATACATCATTTTTACAACAAATCGGAGGATGTCGACTGCTGTTGGCGACCTTTCTGGCGAATGAAAGACGAGGATAATGTTGTTACGTCAGTAAGACTCATCATTTTTACCTGTAACAATACCTACCATTTTCGAAGCAATAATTGCTTGAAAAATTTCAACGCAACACTGTTATGAAGGTATCCCTTATCAGATTTTTCAATCCTCCAGTTAAACTTCAATCTGCGATAGCAATTAATAAACTATATGCACATCAACGATCACCAACCAATAAACACACACACACACACTTCACTTCATTTATGTGAAGCATCGAATACTTTTTCTTTGCAGATATGGCAACGAGTGTTTCGCCTTCGAGAATTCAGTGACCATCAAGACCGAGTTCGTAAGAATCGAATGTTCCCGCAACAAGGAGGTAATATACAAGGACTACCACGCATTCTTGCCCCGTTTCCGTTCGATTGAAGAGAAGTATGAGAGATCAAGAATTAACGATCCGAGGTCCGAACACCTCAGCTTGCTGATAATTGGCATTGACTCCGTGTCAAGAATAAATTTCCATCGAATGATGCCAAAAACTGTCGAGGCTCTCCAAAAGCTTGGCGCTGTAGAAATGTTAGGCTACACAAAGGTAGCTGACAACACGTACCCAAACTTGGTGCCTGTCTTGAGCGGTTTGTCAGAGGAGGAGTTGCACGATGTATGCTGGCAAACCAAAGATAAATCATTTGACGAGTGTCCATTCATTTGGAAAAACTTCAGCAAAGCCGGCTATCGCACTGTTTTCGGCGAGGACGCCTGTGGTATGACAACGTTCAACTATCTAAAACCGGGTTTCCGGGTCCAACCAACCGATTATTATTTGAGGCCATTCTGCATCGCTTCGGAAAAAGACATTGGGAACACGCATAAATTAAACGCGAATCTTTGCGTGGGGACCAGGAAAACGTTCGACAATTTGCTAGGCTATAGTCGGAAAACTGCTACGGAATTCGCTAAAGAACCGTACTTCGCGATGACCTGGCAAGCCAGTTTAACCCATGACTTCTTCAACTACCCACAATTAGGCGATAACTCTTATCACGACTTGGTAACGTATTTGTCTAACGAACAGTTACTCAACAACACAGCACTGATCGTAATGAGCGACCATGGAATGAGATGGGGTAGCTTTCGTGAGACCTATCAAGGTAGAATGGAAGACAGTCTTCCGTTCGTGTTCATCGTGTTGCCAAGCTGGTGGAAGGATAAGTATCAAATAGCCTGGGCGAATCTTCGGAGAAATTCACGTAGCTTGACAACAGCTTTTGACCTGCACGAAACTTTGCTGGACCTGCTAAACTCGAACAACCTCGCGGAACCAACCCTGAAAGATCGCTTCAAACTGCTGTCGGCGGCAAAAAGTGTGCCACGCGGGATTAGCTGGTTCCTACCGATTCCTGACTACCGAACCTGCAGCATGGCAGGCATAGCTAGTCATTGGTGCATGTGCCATAATTACACCAACGTACCGCCAAACGACAAAAGTCTTGAAGACAGAGCCGTTTTTTTGGTGAAAGAACTTAACGAGATGTTGAAGAAGTTCACGCAATGTGCGGTTCTCAAGCTGAAAGAGGTTAGAGCCGCAGAAGCATGGAAAGACAAAAATGATCGGTCTGATCTTGTTGACTATACGATCACGATACAAACGGAACCTGGTGACGCTATATTCCAGGGAACGGTACGAGACAGAGGTGGGAATAATACTAGTAAATTGGTTGGTTCTGTCAGCAGATTAAACGCATACGGCAAACAGAGCGCTTGCGTTGATGAATTCAATATGAGACTGTATTGTTACTGCCTGTAGAACCTACATGTTTCGTCGCCTTCTGTAGTTGCTTTGCGTACGGCTCTAATATCTTCGGATAAAATTGCCGTGGTGAACGATGTATAAGAAGAGTCACACTGTGATAAGATTCTTACTTTAAGAATATAGAGTGGTTCACAGTATTTCATACTTAACAAATTGAACATTAACATCGAAGCAACGGTAAAATCTGTTAATCAACTAGATGTTTAACCCTCCAGATAGCACATAACGCCCAATGACACCTTGAAGACGGCTTAAAAGCGCCTTAGATCTAAAGTAGCCGTAAAGTGGACGTCTTTAAGGCGTCATGTGCTATCTGGGCCTCGGACGGCGAGGCTAAGGTCTATTTTGAAGCCACTTTCAGAAGCCTTTTTTAACTTCCCAAATCCTGATAGTTCACTGAAGTAAACCCACATGGCATATGAAGCCTTGAAGATGAACATTTTACAGCTATTTTAGGTCTGAGACGCCTTTAAGCCATCATTAAGGCATCTTATGCCGTCTGTGTGCTAGCTGGGAACAGTTGCTATAACAGCCACATCCAACTAGTTGCTCGTACGGGCATATTTTGGTGGAGTCAAGCGAAAACAGACGAAAAATACATGCTTAAATCACGTCTTCATGATCGATGAACATACAAGGGTGTCTCAAAATAGCTTCAACTCCCGGAAATGAGGGATTCCTGGGATAATTTGAAATAACATTTTCCTTAACGAAAATGTTATCCGAGGCTTTATTAAAGAGATATTAACGAAAAACCCCGACCAATCAGAGCGCGAGTCTGCCGGCCGAGTTCCCGCGGTAGCGTTGGCAAAGCGTAGCCAACACTATTGCGGAAGCTCAGCTACTTTCTTTTAGTATCTTCGCTAAACGAACAATTGATTCAATACTAATTTTTAAGACATAAGTGACAATAAATAATTTTTTTGAAATATTTCATACACACGAAATAACAGATGTTCGGCCTTTCTGAGGTTAATTACGTATGTATCCACGTATGCATGTAGATATGTGTTCAGTAATTATTTATTTACGTTATAGAATTTATTAACTATGACGTTGAATTTGTTAAGTGAACTGTGAAGAAACTTTGGACTGGGTCCAACAGAAGCCTAAACGTTGCCTAAATTTTAAGACAAATTAATTATTTATTAGTTAATAAGTACAGAGAATCATAAAACTTCTTCGTTCGGTATATCAACGTATGTATGTATTTAATCTGTGAACCGGGGAGATCAGTCATCCAAAGTACCTCTTGTATGTGTGGTGGCAAACCTGCAGAAATAAGTTAACTCGTCTCACCCACTACATATAAGTGTATTCTAATGTTGAGTTAACTCGTTAGTTCGGGTTTACAGTTTAATGCTCTTGCTGTGATAACAAAGCAACGCTTGTATCGATTCTTTTTATTTGCAACGTTTAAAAATGTAATTATTTAACGAAATCACTAATAACTTTCGCAAACATGTGTATAATTCCAAACTATAGAATAACTGCGTTGCAAGTCCTTTTATTTTTTTTAAATTTTTGAATTTAATTTGATGAGAATATACAAAATGTGATTTTGTTTACTGATAATGTTGAATTAATCTCCCTACTAAAAATATTTTATACCCAGATAGCACATGACACCTAATAACGCCATGAAGACGGCTTAAAGACACCTTAGACCTAAAATAGCCATAAACTGGACGTCATCAAGGCATCATGTGCTATCTGGGTATTGATAATGATAAAATAATTTTTTCTTTATAAGAGAAGATATTTTAGGTATGTTTTACTTACTTTATCTCGTAGTTTTGGACATGACAAACATTTCTACAAAGCGATTTTTTTTTAAATTCGAATTATTAGCAGAGATATAGAGGTCCAAAATAGTGCCTCCCGTACGGTGCTGAGGTAAGTAAACACTATAAACACGTTTTTCTCGGTACAAGGTTTTTACGTCGAGCGATTGCATATCTTAACAGCGCTTTCGCGTACATACACCTAACTCTTTTTTTTACATGATTTTGAAACAGCACGGTCCTAGAAAAGAACCGCCTTCCTTTTCAAACGGTTGATTTGTTTTAACACGGTGCAAGAAAAAAACCGTCTTCTCTTCGATCGTGTTACTTCAAAATCGTATAAAAAAAGTTAGGTGTATTGATAACATAACTGGCTACGATTGGAACCACAGATAAGATTTTATCTTGCAAAAAGTAATTTTATGAAACCAAAATAGCTAAATTTTTAATAAAAACCGAGTATCATATTTCAAAATGCTGTTATTCTGCTGATTCTTATTTTTAAAAAGCCTCCGTGCCCTGATAACCAGTTGTGTGCAAGTTCCGGGCAAGTTGCCAGCAATAAAGTATAACTGCATTTGACTACGGTTTTGTAGGCAACACTTGATGTCAAGTTGTGGTTACAGGTTGCACGCAACTCTTGTAGCATAGTTGACATTGAGGTAGATCATGGACATAGGAATAAAGGGAGGGAGCGTAAGCCGAATGACATTGAGGTAGATCAAGGTAGATCATAGACATAGTAGCTTCCGAGGAACGGGAAACACGGTCACGTGTACTCTGAGCCATATTGGCAATTGGTTATGATCGCGCAAGCGCATGGCTTTGATCTTGTTTTGATCGAGTAAAAGTGTGCCCAGTGCATAGACATATACGAAAGGGTGAGTTCTAATCATTTCATTGCTGATTATTATTTTCTTAATTTAACGCAAGCTATGGCTTATTTCCGGCGATAATTCTACAAGTTTCTGTACCTAACTTTTTCTTCGGGCTTTTTGAAGAAACTTATTCATTATCAGTAACATTGTTGACAGTTATTAAACTACGAATTTTTATACCAATACCAAATTACGATCACTACTCGTTTATTCTCTGTTACATTACCTTTTCGTTCACACGTTATTTGAAAAGGAAATTTACAAATTCATAAAAAGGAATTTACAAAAATGTAAATGTGCATTCGTCTTTTTACGTTACACATAATTTGCCTACATTTACGTTTCATTCATTAATCTCTTTAAATAACAAACGACAGATGATAGAAAGTATGATTTTATTTGTTACGTCTTGTTTATTTGCTATTATTATACGCGGTTTCCTGCGATGCATGGTGACCTACTTGTTCGGAGCTTCGTAGTACAAGCGTAGCGCGTAGCCACCGCTAGCGCGGGAACACGGCTGGCAAACTTGCGCTCTGATTGGTCGCGGTTTTTCGTTAATATCTCGGTAACGAAGCCACAGTTTACATTGTTGCTAAGGAAAAAGATGTTCCTATTCACCCCCCGAGTGCCCCATTTCCGGGTCGGAGGACATTTTTGGGACGCCCTGTATAGACGGAGCATTAACCGAGCGGTGGAGTAAGATTCGCGGTAAGGGGGTGGATAGTGGTAGATCGGGTAACTTCGTTTATTTTCGGTGCAATTCGGGTATACAATCGTGTTACATACATGTATGCTATGAGAGATGAAAAGAATATACCTATTATACGTAAAAAATTCCGTATGTCGTGTAGTTTGTATAGATATATGTATTTAACAAAATTAATAAATAGTATAAAGCATTAAATAATAGTACGGTACACAGCCCACCAGCCATTAATAACGAGCCATTACATTTGTATATAAAATATCTCACGAATTATTAATTTTTTTCACATATTACCTTAATATTTTATTACGCAGAATGTTTAAAAGAATCCACTTACGTAAAAAAAAATTTTTATTCCACAATATTTCACAGTATCATTAAAAAGGAAACATAATTAATCTTGAAAATTCAGGATATCCTCAACCAACGAAAAAATTGTTACTGCAAATTAATAGCCCTTTCCATACTAAACAACTTTTGTGAATAAACTTTTCTAATACCTCCAAAAATAACGAAGATAATGAAGATGATCGTAAAATGCATATATCCAGCCCACCCTATACGTGGTGCGTCGCACAACTGAATGGCCGAATGGAGGGGAGAGCGCGCGGGTCATTGGACTTTCCTTATTGTAGTATTCCTGGAATTCTGGCCCTCTACATCCCCGAAGACTGCAATAAACGAATGTCTACTGTATGTATATGTATATGCGATACAAAAAATTCAAAAAATTCTGAGTATTACTTGAAACATACTTTAATATGAAGACAAAACGCCATATAGTATACACTTACAAAATCTTATTAAAACGTCAGCGTTACACCTGGGGACTTCTCTTTGCCAGTGCCGAGGAGCCTTCGAACACTCATCGAGGATCTACTGTAGTTTGCTGGTGCCGAAAATGCGCGTGAAATGAAACATGCACCTTCCACTGACTTCTTGTCAGCGACGCAGTGTACACTCCTCAACATTACAATAAGTATTTAATGATATTTCTATCAACTCCAAATAACAATGGACAAATAATAATCAACTCCAATTCAAATGATTCGGTCGTATGAGTATATACAATTCAAATTATTGGTTGTATTACTTTTTTAGTACGATCGAAAAAGAAATAATGATTTAATTACGCTATGTATGAAATCCACAGATGTAAATAAAGTAGATACAGCAACAATATAAAAATTATAGTTTATTTAAGGTTTCAGTTGAACGAGTGCATTAGAAAAGTAGGTATAAAAGGACAACTAAATGTTACAAATGTGTTGTACTGAATGAAGGAATTGTACCTTAAGTCTTGCAAACAAAACATATATAGAAGTATCAAAAAAAACTTCTGCAAAATAAACAAAAATGTATAATTTAATGTAAACATTTTTTAATGAAAACCTTAACTGCAAGTTATATAAATGCATAGTACTTATTTTTTATGGACAACAGATTGTGTTGTACATTTTATTGCCAGTAGTGTTGATAGAAAAGTTGTAATACAATATTTACTAAATTACCTGTATTTGGATACTGAATCCAATATTAAAAAAACATGATCATTGAATCCCTTCCACTGTCTACACGCAAAACATCATAAGACACTCATGCATCACTCACGCATAGTAAACATAAAATTCTTTTCTTATCCTTATCCTTATCCTTATCCTTGTCCTTATCCTTATTCTTATTCTTATTCTTATTCTTATTCTTATTCTTATCCTTATCCTTATATGTAATAAGTCCCTGTCTGTCTGTCTGTCTGTTCGCTTATAACTAAAAAACTACTAGATCAATTTCGATGCGGGTTTTTTTTATCGCATAATACAATTTTTGAAGATGGTTTTAGGCTATTTTCTCGATTTACCAGCGAGGACAATCGTAAGGTCAAAATACTGTGACTGTTCGACAAATGTTCAAAAATCTACGTGTCATGCCAAGTAAAGGGCGATTCTCCCTTGGAACAGTCGAGCGACAATGTAACACGTACATACACTTCCGCTGCTTGAGCCAATGGTGAAAATAAAGGCAGACAAAAAAAAGTCCTTTCAAATTTGTTTGGCTGCCTCGACTCTCAATACTTTTTTGTATTTCACCCGCTATCCTTTTCTTCGACCCGGACTCAGTCTGAAATTAATGAAGTGCAGAAATCATATTCTTCTACTCTTCTATCTCAACTCTGAACATTTATCGAAATTCACTGTACTGCTATGTTCCACAGTACTGGCCCAATCTCCATGAAATTTCGGATATAAGTAAAATAATACCTAAAACTAGAATAGAAGCCAGTTGTTAGTTTCATATCAGGGTATGCTTTGTAATGACAATTAACAAGGCACAAAGCCAAACCCTGGAGGTCCGTGGCGTTAATTTACATGAACATTGTTTTCACATGATCAGCTAATATCGTCTATAGAGAAGTATTCTATTGAAAAACGGTAAAAATGAAAAATTATAAAATGAAAGAAAAAGTAAAAACCAGAACCCACCACTTCCACGTATGTAATTGGCTTTGGATTGTGGTTAAGTGTGGATACACGTATGATATAATTAGAAAAACAAATTTACTGTACAATATAATTAACTGTTGTGACAGTTTATACCCCATAATTTAAAATCTTATGCTGATATTTATTCATGATATATTATAACCTATCTTTATGTATGAACTAGAATTTGATATACAACATAAAACTGCCCGCGCTAAATCTGGTACATCAGCTAATAATAACTTATATTAAATAAAGTACTCCAGACATTACTGGCAGTCATATAAGTAATTGGTAATAACAATATCACCACTTTGTTATGATAAGAGGAAGTAGGTGTACTCAATGGTTATTATGTTACATTACATGTATCCAGTTTAACTGACCGAACAATGGATTACCAAGCCTGTTGGTACCATGACATTTCAAGGAAGCAGAAACACCACTTGGTATAGAAACACGCAAAGTCAACATATGCACTTCAGTTATGTATATGCACATTTTATAGTGTCACTTTGTCTATACATTGCACTTAAAATTCCTAATTTCCCTGTATTCCATTATAAATTCGATTGACAGAGTCTTGTTGAAATAAATTTTGTATTTCTGAAATAGAAACAAAGTAACAATATATCGTAACAATTTAGAAAAATGTTCATCAAATGAACTTACCTTCCTTTTGTGTACTTGTAAATTCTGTTTCAGGGAATGCAACATCAAATGTTATATACAAAGTACCATAGAGATTATTATTGTCATAATTAGGCATTCCTTCTCCTTTCTTCCTAATACGAGCCCCTGGTTTGGTGACTTTATCCCTCTGAATAGTCACTTTATGGCCATCTAAATGTTCTATATCCATTTTAAAGCCTATCAAGGCATCCTGCATAGATATAGTAACATTTGTATAGAGATCATCACCAATTCTCTCAAAAACTGGGTGTGGCTGAGTTCGTATTTTCAAAATTAAATCCCCAGGTTCTCCATCTATATGTGGTTCACCTTCTGCTGTAAATCTAACTTCCTGCTCATCTACCATACCAGCTTCTACTTCAACCTCCAATACCCGCTCTTCAGTAACAAATTTAACGTTTGGACACTCTGAACACACTGGCTGTTGCATCATTTGAAATCTTCCATTTCCTAAATTACGAGTGACAAATTCTTGTCTACAATTACATTTTCTAGTTCCTTTAGCTGCCTTCGTAACTGGCTTATTTCTTGTGAGCTAAAATTAATTGTATATTATTTAATATCTGTAAATCTTTTTTCATTACACATTAAATCTTACCTCTATAAAATTTCCACTATATAATTCTTCTAACGTAACCATTAAATTCATTACAATGTTAGAACCTTTTGGTGTTTCATGTTGATGCTGAGATTCCCCACCAAAATGAAAACTAAAATCTCCAAAAAAACTTGCAAAAGGATCAGCATTATTCATCATACCATCTCTTTTTAAACATTCTTCTCCACATCTGTCATACATTTCTCTCTTTTCATTATCGGAAAGAACCTCATAAGCAGCACCTATATCTTGGAACTTTTGCGAGGCATTTGGATCTTCTTTATTTTTATCAGGGTGCAGTTCTTTTGCCAACTTTCTGAAAGCTTTTTTTATGGAATGTTGACTTGCTGTTTGTGGTACTCCTAAGATGGCATAAAAGTCTCTCCTACAAAAACATATATGCTGTGTACTATCATGATTGTATACAAATCAAAATCAATTCAAATACGAAACATTAAAGATTAATATCATTTCATATAATCTAATGTTTGTAACAACAATACAAATGATTATGATAAAATGTTCAGTAAATAATCCAAGAAGAATCACAGAATGTATGTGATCAAAATATTTAAAAATACTTGTTTTTTCCCAAGAATTATTTATATTTATTTTATCATTTTATTAATCTGACAAAAATTAAAGCACGGAACTAGAGGTTATAAAGTTTTAACAAAATAAACATTACGAATCTATATAATAAATACATTATAGAAAAGTATGTTACTTTTTTACGTACCCTGCTACAGTTAGAATCACATATACTGTTAAATTTATGAACAAACACCAAATTAATTTTATCGCTGCCATCCTAGCAGACGTTACAACAAACATAGCTGCTAAAATCGTGGGTGCTTCGGATTGGTGGATTGAATCAATTCATTCGGTTTCGATGACGACAGAATGAACTTTCAGGCAAATTTATATGTAACGAGAATGCATGTGACAAATCTTTATCGATGACAACTGATTGGTTAAGAATCTCAACTAATCAGTTGTCATCCATAAAGATTTGTCACATGCATTTTCGTTAGATATAAATTTGCCTGAAAGTTCATTTTGTCGTAGTGATGGGCACCATCGACTAAAAACTATCGGCTAAGTCGATAATAACCAACGACTACTTTCAGTCGACTAAATTTAGTCGCTTGAAGCGACTACTTTCAGTCGACTGAATTGAGTCGCTTGAAGTAATTCGCTTGAACTATCGAACTATTGATCGCTATTAGAGATGGCGTGCAAAATCACTAACGGTGATTTATCACAGTGATCACCGAATCGCGATCACGGTTGATCACGGTCGTGATTTAACTTCATTTACGACTGTGATTGCGATTTTTTTATCTTGAGTGAATTTACTCACTGCGATCGTAAGTCCTTGATCTTCAAACAGAAAAACGTATTCAATATGATTTTACGATGAATTACATTACTATTTGTGTTTGTAAAAATCAGTAGAAAAAACAAGAAATTCTAAAAGAATGATTTGCTAGGTAACATGTAGATTATAATTTATAATCATTAATTTATTCATTATTCTTCATAGTTTCTAATTATTCCTTCACTTTATACGATATAACTCGAATTTTTGTTTTGATGTTAATATAAAATATACAGATTATGTGTCGCGTGTAAAGAACTGTTAGCTTTCTCCACCAATCAGAAACGATCACGAGAAATCACGAATCACTGTGAAAAATCACCGTGATTGGGAACGAACGTGATCAAATCACGAGTGATTCACAAATATATATTTTTATGCATTACCAAGAATTGTGCAAATTATTGCTTATAACCTAATTAATTTTCATAAAAAATTTAGAGCAGTTAAGTTTTTAAGTGCCAATATTGAATAACTTACCAAAAATCGAATATTAGTAATTGTTTAAAAAAACTTGTTAGCACTTATATTTTTGAAATTCTATCTATGCTCAAATTTGTTGTGTATGTAGTCTAAATAGTTGTTGACAATTCTAGAATGATTCATTTACAAAACGTTCGCTCATTGAGAACAGTAACTTCTTTCATGAAATTACTGGGTTTTCAATCGTTAGAAAATGATACTATCTAGAAATAGCCACTTAAGGGGGGAGACTCCTTTGGGGCCAACTCCGAATCGATCGAAGCGCCGATGTAAACAACCGGACGCCAGCGAAAAGACAAAATCGATATTTCGGACGGCTTGATAATGCGACATCTAGCGGCAGTACCCACAAATAAATTTTGTTCCCCGTTACCATCAAGCTGGATTTGTGTATTTCCTACGCGAAGACAGTGTTGCCGGACAGTATCGTTTTTCTTACGCTGTTGCCTCACGTCCCGCATGCAATTCTACCCGTGAGGAGAACGATGGAATAGCTACGGCCTACGGCTCGTGGCGAGATTTCGATTCTCGCCGAACACGTCCAAGGCCAGCGACCGACCCATCGGCATACAATGTAAACAGACGTAGATGAGATAAGGAATGACGCACGAATGAAAATTTTAACTTTTACAATTTGCAATATATTTTAATGAAAATGTCATGAATGAGTTGAAGAAATTCT